GTGTGTGTACAGGTGAGGGCCCCCCCCCCAAACATTATTTGTGGACCCCCCCCCCCCAATCTCTTTCTGACCCCCCCCCCCCCCAATCTCTTTCTGACCCCCCCCCCCCCCAAACTCACTACATCCTCCCACCAGTTTTGTTATAGTTTTGATTTTTTTTATTTAGTTTTTATTTTTATATTATTTACAGATCTTATTTAGAATCCAATTTATTTATCATTAATTTACACTGTGATTATATTGGTTTTTATTAGTTTTTAGTTTGAACAGTATTTCTGTTCAGTTTTATATATTTTAAGATGAGGAAATGTTTTATTAATCCCAGGGTGAAATTATTTTAGTTTCAATTTCAGCTTAAGTCGTTTTATTTCTAAGGATACACTGAAAGAGCCATTTTATGTGCCTGATTTTTTGAGAATCCTACGTGAATAAGCAGCGCACATTATGCAGTGATGTCCTCAAAATGGGCAAAACATGTTCCAGGTCTTATTACTGGTCATAAAAATGAACAAATCATTACTAAATCTACATAGTATTCGAAGCAGTTTTCGAGGCAATAGTTTTAGTTTTTGTTTAGATGTAGTTTTTTATTTGACTTTTGTATCTTATTCTATTTCAGTTTATGAAAATGTTTTCTTAGTTTTAGTTGACCATAACTGGATGCCTCGAAGCGCCAAGACCTCTGGTATCGTCCCTGCGGTATCGTCACTGCGGTATCGTCACTGCTATATTTATATACCGGTGCTATGCAGAAGCACCAATACTAACATGCCGGAAGCCAATTTTGCCATCCCATGCACCCAGATAGCTCTGTAGCAGCTGCTACCTGAAGCTAGTTAATCCACCATCACACTTAAATCCCTCCTGCGTGGTGGAATGACTACGTTACCGTGGCGAGATTTTGTCACGGTTTTCGGTGACGTACTTCATCCCCAAACTTTTCCTGACAGTTGGCTGAACCACTCTGAAGAGCCGTAACAGATGAAACTTAACGTAACGAAACCGAGGCCTCGTAGGTGGGGACTCGTTGCGTTTTTATTTTTATACCTGCCTGTCATCCCTGATTCCGTCCGTGCTCACGGTATGATTCTTTCGATCCAGCTCCGTCACGTCTGCGAGTGTGTGGGCTCCCCGTCGCTGCCCCCCCACCTGATCGACATGTAATGTCATTGAAACAACCCCCCCCCCCACCGCCAGCTAAGGATACCGAGGGATAATTACCATTCAAGGCCAGCATGCAGTCACCCCCATTACTGTACCACAGGCTGCGATTACATGATGCTGGCGAGGTCTCGGCGTTTGCAAGATGCCAAGGAAGCTGAAGGAATTGCTGTTATTGGCTGTTAGCCGCGGTGAGGGGTCCAGACAAATGGAGAGGCTGAGAACAGATGAATAAAGGAAAAACAAGGTTTTTCAGTCAGGATTGACAACTACCGGCTAAGGGAAATCTGTTTCATCTGTTATGCAGTCAGTTCGGCAAGCCGGCACCAGGTGATGCTCTGCAAAACCAACAACGCATTTGCTAGCGTGTAGAATACAAAACATAGGATTCACTTTGAGTGTGCATCACGTATGAGGATGGCAGGATGATTATCTGGAGTTTAGGGAGGATCCCATGGTCCACAGAATGTAAACGCTACAACACAGGCGAGTCTTCCAGAATAATTAGCAAGCCAGTTAAATAGACAACACAGAACTTCGCAGTGAGAATTTCAAGCATTTCATCCATCCATCTTACTTAGGGTGGTGCCGGAAGTCAGTACAAGCTGGATGATGTGTCGGTTCTGTAGGTGAAACACACACACTGCAGATAATTCAGAGATGCCAGCTGAGATAAGGGTATGGGGGCAGAACCCTGCATGGCACGAATGGGGAACAAGAAAACTCCTCCCCCAGAGCAGGGGTGGGGCTTGAACCCTCAATCCCAGAATTAGTAAGGTAGCACTACTAAACACTGAGCCACCTGAGGAAATAGTTGTTTGTGCTTTTAAACACCAAGGTTATGGGTTCGCATCCCATGCCCAACTGTCAGATGCAGAATGTACATATTTCCCAGTGTTTTGACATAGATTTGCTTCTACAATATAAGAATGAATTAACTAATTAATTGGTATCTGTAAATTACCCATCGCGTGAGAGCCCTGTGATGAATAGGCATCCCATCCAGGGTGCCCCCCTCCACTTCCTAGGACAGGATTCCAGCTCCTCTGGATTCCCCCCACAGCCCAAAAACATGCTGAGGCTAATTGGAGTTACCAAATTACCCCATAGGTGTGTGTGTGTGGGTGAATGGTGTGTGTGAGTGGATGGTGTGTGTGTGCCCTGTGAGGGGTTGGCACCCCATCCTGGGTTGTTCTCTGCCTTGCTTCCGTAGCCTCTGGGATAGGCTCCAGATCCCCAGCGGACCCTGAATAGGTTAAGCGGTTACAGCGAATGGGTGGATGGATGGATAGTGGATTCTGGCTCAGTGCAACATATGAACAACAGACGATTAAGGACAGCAGTCCATGTGGGACTGGATGGGAACTGGAGAATATGCAGTTTCCACACAGACAAAGCTGCTCAAGAATTAAACCCCCAGCCCTGGGGGTATGAGGCCACAGTGCTAATCACTGAGCCCCTGCATGCTGAAGTTCATACATTTTTGATATATAAATTAGATTTGTTAATATAATAAAATAGTGATATTTTAGTGTAGGCGTCTCCAACTCCAGTCCTGGAGAGCTACTATCCAGTAGATTTTCTATCCTACCTGAGTTCTGATGAGCCAGACCTGTTCCTGGTATTTACCTGAGAACAGCTGTGGTTCATCAGACGCCAAGTAGGATAGAAAACCTACTGGACAGCAGCTCTCCAGGATTGGAGTTGGAGACGCCTGTTTTAGTGAAATTTATATGCTGAAATTTTAATTTTCTTTTTGTAGATGGTAGTTTTTTTATAAGAGCAAGCCAACATGTTGGAGAGGTGCCGTAAATTTTCCATCCTTGTTAAAACAGCAAAATTGATGGAAAATGACATTTAAAGAGACCAAATTGAAAGAGCCCGGGTGTTTCAAAAGCTATTTAAAAATATTTTCCCCAAAATGCTTTTCACATGCGCCATTATGTGAAAGCTGAGATGCTGGGGGGCAGCTCAGTGGGTAGCTCTGCTGTGTGTGTCTGGGAGGGGGGGGTTATATATATATATTCCAACCCCATTTCCTAAAGAAGTAGGGACGCTCTGAAAAAACGTAAGAATGCAATGATTTACTAATCATATAAACCCGTACTTAAATGACAAACAAGCAAAGACAACATATCAAATTTTGAAACTGAGAAGTTTTATTGTTTTATGATTTATACTGTACCATGATGTTTGGGCCACATAATGTACACCCCCATCTCCAAACGTCCCCACACTGTGATAAAAACCTGTTATTTTGACCTTGGGGGGGACCATGTTTTTTTTGTCCCCACAAGTGGAAACTCAATTTAATAAAAGTCTGTGACTGCAATCAAAAAATCTTGCATTTTGTTCGGTTACTTATGGTTAAGGTTAGCGCTGGGTAGGGGGTAAGGTTGTCATTCTTGGGACTAGGGTTTTGCCTACAGAAATGAATGGAGAGTCCCCACAGAGATATGAATGTTGTGTGTGTGCGTGTGTGTGTGGTGTATGGTGTGTGTGTGGTGTGTGTGTGTGTGTGGTGTGTGTGTGTGTGTGTGTGTGGTGTGTGTGTGTGTGT